AGCGTTCCAATCTCAAAGGAATACCATCGCACCGTACAATATATTGGAAATAAATCATACAACTTTTCTTTTGTATACGTCTGTTATAATTACAGACTGGCTTGTTGTAATAATTGCGACTGCCCGGTTGGTGCGGTGGCTGGGCAACAGTTACTCGCGGGCTCGTTTCCCGCATGGAACAACGCTATCCACAAATTGTTGTTTCAGGTCTGGGTGTCATGTGTATATGAACTTTTTAAACGAGCAGACGGATCACCTGATGGTAAGCAATCGGCGTCGCCCATGAACACCTGGAACTCCAGAGGCATTACAATTACAAGTGCGTTACCGGCCTTTTGGGATTAGGAATTTGAGGATTGTTCGGATTCAAGGATTGGGGAAAGGGGAGGGGGGTAATTGGGCCTCCGATAACCTCATAAGTCACATGTTTGTAAACGCACCTACGACACAGGAGAATCCTAGTGTGGGGCAACGTTTAAAAAAAAAGAAATATTACATATTTTCATTATTTACTCATTCCTTGAGTAGAATGCATCTGTCAGCACCTCAAACGGACTAAGTGACTACACATTGGACCTATTGTCTGGTTGTGACGCCTTAAATATTTTGAGCTTTCGTTATTTAGGTCTAAGTTGGACTATTATTCAAGTGTAACTGAGGTTTCTCTTTCAAGTAGCTTCCGACGCTACGTAACGGTAGATAACATTAGTAAAAATATTAAGTTTTCGCAATTCGATCGAATAGTCTTAGTCGTAGTCTATTCGGTTGAATAAAGCAACAAAACGACCATTCTAATAACAATGTTTAGTGTATAATACCTGCCGATACGGAGCCGCGGAGGACTTAACGGGTCGCCGAGGCTCCAGCTCGAAGTGCAGGAGTAGGAACGGGGTGGTTTTTAGTCAGTAAGAGTCTGACACTCCCTCCCGCCTCACCCAGGCAGGAGAAATCATTCGATGATTTTACCCCCTTAAAATAATTGAGCTTCCAGTAACCCACGACGAAACACAACGCAAGCGTTGTTTCACGTTGGTTGTCTGTGAGGCTGTGATATCACTCCGGTCGAGCTGGCCCATTTGTGCCGAAGCATGGCTCTCCCACAATTATTATTTAATCTCCCACGCGATATTTAAGTACCTATAACTTAAAACTTAAATAGCCTTTCAGTATTCGGATGATTGAATAGACCACATTTTAAGGTAATTCCCATTAACACCGAAGGACCCACGCATTCACGCTTACCTAAAGTGAAAAAAATGGCGTGTCGCTTTAAGAAAATTGCAAATTGAATAAAGAGTTTTGTAAAGGCTTTAGATCAGGTGTTGCCATGCATATAACAGGTTTTATAGCTTCTGTATCATGTTATGAAGTGTAGGAGGAAACAAAATATTTTGTGGGCAAACAAGGGCGGTTATGTGTGTTGTGCTAATATAATATCTAAGAAAAACTAACGCCTTTTTGTTTTTTAGGTAGTGTGGGTAGGTGTGTTTGTAAAGTTGCCAGTTTAAAATAATATTTATTGTTTTTTAAGTAGTCCCAGCAAAGGCTTACGTTAATAACATGTTAGTAGAATTTTATCACACTAAAATTAAAAATGTGATAGTTTATTTTTTAAATTTATATTTGTTGCGCCGACGTTTGGCCCCTATCTCGTCTGCAGTCTACGATGCATCACGTCGTCCCATAAGCAACATGTTTGAATGTTTGTCCGTTAATTACGCTGAAGCTACTGAACGGATTTTAATGGGTATACAGGCAGGGTATGGGCGGACTTAGGTGATAGGATTCTTTTTATCCCGATTAAATGCCGAATACGCGGGCAAAGCCACGGGTAAAAGCTAGATTTATATATTTTAATGAACATTTCCACCTTTAGTGAATACTTAGTAGACAAAACTACATCATATAGGTAAGAGTTGAAGAGTTGTAGGTAGTAAGAAAGTAGTAGCAATAATCAGATAGGTAGTAAGATACTCTATTTCAATGCAGTTAGATTCATTTTAGTATAACAGTACCTACTTACATCTAGTCAAACAAATCTTTATCTATCACTCGTTTGAAAATGGAAATACTTACCATTTAAAACCAAAGCCTTTAAACTCTTTCATCATTCAAATTTCAACCATTTCACTATACATTTAAGATTTCAAATAGGTTATTAGGTCTCAGCTTGATAGAACTTAACGCATTGTCTCAGAGTTTGATTTTCCAGCCAGTAGTGCATTTATGAAGTGTGAAATAACCTGTAATAGGTACACTACTTTATGAGGTAAGAGCTTGTAGGTTTTACGGGTAATTGAACTTTTGTTTTGTACGTATTTGAGGTTAGCTGTTGCCCACGACTACGACCACGTAGAATATGGTTCCTGTTTTATCTAATGGGAACATTTAATCGGGATAAATTGTATCATATCACCTAAGTCAGCCGATACCTTGGCTGTGTCGCGGAGAACCTAACGGGTAACCGGGGCTCCGACTCGACGTGCAGGAGAAGGGGGTGGTTTTTAGTCAGTAAGAGTCTGACACTCCCTCCCGCCTCACCCAGGCGGGAGCAGCCATTCGATGAATTTCCCTTAAAAAAAAATACCTTGGCTGTATACCAAAATCCACCACAATCCGTTCAGTAGTTTCAGCGTGATTCGACTTCCAAACATCCAAACTTTCACATGTTTGTGATATTAGTGTGATTTTCTATTTCAGACTGAGACATGTATAATGTTCAAGTTCATAGATTTTTAACACGTTAAACGCCATGGGGGTCACCGGTGTAGGGTTTGTAAGCGCCTACACTTGGATGATAGTTGATAGGTTGACTGCTTCTCGTTGATATAGACACGAAGATTGCGTAGAAATGATAAAATAACACAAACTTCTGTGACGAGAGTATATTGATATTTATTGATACAAATGATAAAGTGCAGTGATATAAAATGCTAATGATACAGTTTAAATAGTCGTACAAAGGTGCTGACGCGCGTCGCGACAGTAATTATGTATATAAAACAAAATTAAACCTGTACTGTTGTCTGTACAACCGGTGACCGACGTTAGCGGAGGATTTACCTCCAACAGTTTTTTATTGGCAGTCAAAGTCTTAAGCAACTACAACAAAGGAGGTTATCAATTCCACCTGTACCTATGTATCTAGGTATGTTTGTGCGCTAATATCTCACGATTGGCTGAACCGATTTCGATGCGGTTTTCAGAAAAGTGTTTGAATTACACTTAGGAGTAGGTTTTGGTATAATAATTAACCGACTTCTATAAAAGAGGGGGTTGAAGGAGGTTTTTTTAAACGTAGTTTATAAAAGAATTATGATTTAGTAACTGACGCTAGCTTGGGGTTCGGTTTTGGGTGCGACTACTGGGTTACGCGAAGGATTGTTGGGATATTTTTATGATGATGCCTAATTGCGTTTAGGACGTAGAAAAAGCAGTAGTGTATAGACATATCCACATCCATAATCCATATCCATATCCATAGCCATAATCACCACGATTAGCTGGTAGAATAAAGTTAAAGTAAGTAAAGTAAAATCGATTTCGTTTTCATCCCGCGGCAAAACAACTTGCCATAAGGAGTACTTTAAATGTAAACAAAAAAATAACTACGTTATTTTTTTTTAATTTGTCATGGAAATAAGCACATGAAACACTAGACGTAAATTGGTAGGCACTATTCGACAATTACATGGCGTGATGTTTTGATAATGTACTATGAGTTCGTATGCGCTTTAGAAGTTTGCTTTTTCCAATGGTTCTCACGGTATTTTTTGTTTTAGGTATTTTTTCTTTGTAGAGCTATTGAAACCCTGCTGTCACCAAAAACTGGTATGGTGGCAGTGGGCCATAGTATAAAAATCCCAAATAAAAGGTACTCATACCATCTCAAAAATAATTATATATAATAATACATAACATCACGCCTTTTATCCCCAAAGGGGTAGGCAGAGGTGTACATACTGTACATTATACCACAGTA